CAAAACAATGCCAAAAAGGTGCTCCTGCTTGATGTTTGTCCAGCCATCAAAGGCTGCAGTTACTCCAAACTTGTCTGCTCATGCATGTCATAAAATGTCTTCAATCAATATAGTTGAAGCCTTTGGGAGAATTCGATTACTTATTGCTCGACGATTAGGCAAGTTTAAAGTTGGCATAACAAATTTAAAGACATCTTAGGTTTCTTGGTTTTCCATAAAAGTAAACGGAAGACCATTTGACATGATCATACGTAATACCAGATTTTCAAAATGCTGATTATCTTTGTCAGATAGTTGGCGCATCATATAATTGTCAAAGGGTACTTGCTGTTTTATTTTTGGTAATGCAGATTTACTAGTGAATTTACTAGTTGATGAAGTTGGTTCACTTGTAGATGATAAATTTGATATTGACGTCTCAGTAATCGTGGTAGAAAGTTCATCTTCTGACTCAGAATTATCCTTTCCCGCTATTACTAATTGTAAGTTATTTAAGTTGGTAAAATGACATGCAATGTTTAATATATTTATTTACCTTTATTTTTTTTTTTGTCTTTAGGTATTGATCGAGAAAGAATCTCTGTAATCTCATCCATATTATACTGCGTATTAAAATTTGGTCAACTTCAAAAATGACTTCGGCATAGTTTTGCCTTATTAGGAACAAAACACTCAGGCTTTGTTATAGCAACAAGTAAGGTATATGTTCTTATGCATGAGAAGCAAACCGCCTTTTTATTTGCTTTTGGATTTTCAGATGCAGTTAAATAAAAAAAATTCTGGAAATTATGTTCTTTTTTACCCATGGTAATTTCGTGTGAAAAAAATTACAGATTTTGTGATGTCATATTTATAAGATACCCCGGATGTTGACAATGCATGAGTTCCTTTTCCATTTACGAAAATATCTCGTTGCTTAATTATTGCTATCTATCTAACAACTTTTATTCTATTTTTTTTTTTTTTTTTTTTTTGGTTTATTTTTTTGTTTTATTTGTTCGTTCTTATTTTATTTTATTTGTTTGTTTTTATTTTATTTTATTTATTTATTTTTCATTTTTTTTATTTATTTTTTTTTTACTAACTAGATTCGTTAATATTCCTTCTTGAAATGCCAATTAATTCTGTAAAGTGAATTGTTTAGTATTGAGATTTTATATAGTTGGATACTTTATATTTATATTACGTATTAATAAGCCTTTTTATATTTATATTAAGCTCTAAAGATAATAATAATCAAGCAAATTATTACATTGTTCTGATTTCCAATTTGTACAATACTTGCATAGTGCATGCATTATTGTTATATTGATTGACATAGAAAATTGACAAACACTATATGCAATAACCAAATGACTAAATGACCTTCAAATGACCCTGGTCATTTACAAATAACCATGGTCATTTGGTCACGGGTCATTTCCAAATGACCCAAAATTCAGATGACCAAGAATGACCGGTCATTTCAGAGTCATTTGAGGTCATTTGAAAAATTTGCAAATAACCAGGTCATTTACCATCACTAAATATCTATAGACACAAAAGGGCATAAAATATCAGGCACATTAAAGGTATGGGCACAAAGTGCCAGGCACTAGTAAAGGCATGAGCACAAGTGCCAAGCACAATTAAACAAATTACTGTGCCTGTGCCCACTCCCATGCCAAATTTTTGTGCCTGTGTTCATACCTATAGTTGTTAGACGAAACCTTTTTCGCATAATGATAAAAGACGAAATCTAAACCCCCAAATGGCAAAACCTCTGATGAAAGTTGAAACTTGAAGCTTTAAACTTAAAATGACTCAAAAAGACGAAACCCTAGTGCTCTCATTAAAAAAAAAAAAACAAATGCTATTTTCTTTAAATTAACATTCATATTATTCAGAGATCAGTATTCGAGATTACATGTATGCAAGCTAAAATAAACCAGTTCATTTTTTCTGGGCAATGTTAGGGTTGTTATAGACCGGTTGAAATTGCCTTATCAAAAAGCCATAGTACTCATGGAATAACGAATTAAAACATACTGGCACTAAATAAATTTGTAATATCACAAAGCAAGCACCAAGCGATTTTTCACTAGAACTGATATGTATAATATAATATAGAATACACATTTTTAACTCCCTTTAAACAATTCAAGCGCCTATTATACAATAAAATTTTTTGTAATTTTTATAAATTTCTGTTTTTGTTTATTTTTTTATACATATAATCTTTAATGATATTCAACAACATTTATTTATATTCGTCTTTTATTAGTTTTGTCACCCTTTACAGTTTCGTCATTTAAAATTTTAATTGGCGAAAGACGAAATTAGGTTTCGCGTTTCATCAGCGCGAAACCTCGAGGTTTCGTCTAACAACTATACCCATATCTATGCCAAAATTTTAAAGCCATGTCTATGCCCATGCCTAAGTTTTTCTAAATATTCATGCCACCTAAATTTTTTTGGGCACAGGCACGTACCCGGGTTGACGCCCCAGGTGTATTTAACGTTGGAATTGGATCAAAAAATTGAACTTCTCTGAACTTCGCTTAGACCTTCTGTTCCTGGTTTTGCGCGATGATGTCGCATAGCTATAGTTTGTGGCAGGTTTATTATATCAATATCAGGCCCACAAATCATTGAAAGGACTATACTTCGGAGAATTGGTGACGAAGAGGCACGTTTTTGTGTTCTGTTGGTTCGTCTTCATCCATGATTGAAATCCTCGATTACTAACTTTCTGTCTATAGATCTAATTGATTTCTAGCCTTCGTAATCTATTTTAACAGAATATATTTGGTTTAGATATGATTTATTTCTTAAACTGAAAAATAAAAAAAAAAAAAAATAAAATTTATAATAATTACCTGAGGCTTGAATAAGGAGAATGTTAATTTTTGAAAATTATCATCCAGATTTCTAAGCTTAGAACCATAGAACCTAATATTTCTCCATACATCATTTCCCAATTATATTTACCGTTTCTAGCTGAATAAGTTCTAAATACATCTGGTGTTCATCATTTCTATCATGAGCCGCTTGACTCATTTAGTCTCTAATCATAATAAATAATTAATAATATGATAAAATTTTTTCATTTGTAAAACAAAATTTACCGTGTGCGCATGTGCAGATCTTAATCAAATTGGGTCCGTAAAGAGTAATAAAAAGCGGATAAATGTATCACGTCGCATAATAAGATATCGGCAGAAGAAATTGTTTGGTTTGCTTTGTTGGGCTAATTCATATTAGTAAAATTTTCTATTCTATATTTAATCGATCAATAAATTTTGGGTATGTGAAAAATAAACACTGTATACGCATTAAAAACAGTCATAAAAATCCTGAAATCAGGAGATCGTTTAAACAACATCTTTCGGTAATCAAAACTACAATAACCTTGTTGATTTGTTTTTATCTATTTTTCTTCCTTTTCACCTATATTAGTTTTTGCAGTTTGAAACTTGTAGATTGGCTGAGCAATCAAGTCAATGACATATATTAACTAAACCATTCAAATCAATTTTTAATATTGTTTTGGTTGTTCTTTTTTTTACGTTACACCTGATCTAGCCAATCAAAAGCCATAATTTGCGGACACAGACCATAATGAAATTAATTTGTAACAAAAAAAAAAAGAGTGACAAGTATAATATTATCTATGTAGGTTTGCTCGTTCAAGAGTTATCGCGGGTTGAATTTTATTATATATTTTACTACTGTACTATTAGAATTTATTACAGTATATGATCCGCACTATGTTTGTAAATTGACTGATAGGCCACACCCCAGTAAATTATGGATGCCGCCTTATTTAATTTGACCAGAATTAGATTGTTTTGACAAAGATCGGCACGTATACGAATTCGGAAAAATCAAAACAAAATAAATGTCGCGAAATCGGATGATCGTGAAATCTGGGGCCTTAATTTAAAAATATAAACCCTACTAAAACCCACTTATACTCTTTTATTATAAACTCTAACCCTAAATCCTAGTTCAAAAATATAAAAAAATGTACCCTAAAAATTTTTAAAAATCATATATTAAATAGGGTTTGATTTCATGATCATCCAATTTCACAGTCGTTTCTTGTCTCTATTACACTTACAGAACCGAAGTGCCTTGAAAATTTGATAAAACGTAGAACCCAAGGAAAGTACTAAGTATGATTTTTCCATTTAACTATTAGAAATTTATGATGATGTGATGTGAAAATATTCTTAGTGCTTAGCACAAGAATTACTTAAGCACCATTAAATATTGCTAACAATTTGGTTTTGGGTTCCAAAACCCTCATTGAGCTCGACCTCATTTATATTAAATGTCTCAGGCACAATGATGACAGCATTATTTCCTAGGTGCTTGGTGTTAAATAAAGATTTAATGAATATTGCTGAATTAACAAAATTTTATTTATTTAACACCGACTAGATACACGTGTAAGCTAATATATATATATATTGTCTTTTTATCTAGTGATGAAGAATTGTTTTATTTAACAAGTTAAATAACAAATCAAGATGTAAAATATGAACAAAAGCAAGGGATGGTTAAATCTTTAGATAATGCTTGCCCGGATCGTGGTTTTAAAACCAATGACAAATGTATATAAATTAAAATTAACGGTGATTGTCAAATTTTATATAATTTTATTTTGTTTATTTAATTAACAGCTTTTAAATAGTAATAATAAATCTTTTATAATAGCCTTTCAAAGGTTATAATGATTTTATACACATAGCCGGTTATAAATTTTATGCGATGTTTTGATGTTTGCAAAGTCGGCGGCAAAAAATGATTTATTATCAAAATATATTTGTTATTTACATATCTGAGATTGATTATCTTTGTTAATTATTCTTGGATAAAAATGTATTTATTCCTTACAGAAAAGGAATAATAATAACACTATAATATATTGTCTTGATTAATTAATATTGCCTGGAAATTATATATATACTTCAAGCTATATAATCGATTCTCACCAAAGTGTCAAAAAAAAAATATTATATAACCCCACGACAATATAACAGCCTTACTTGCAAATCACCAATTCCAGCATCAACTACTTGTGGAACAAACATACTTTGACCAATTTTTTTTTTCTTTCTCCTTCTCCCTCGTTCCACAAGAACCTTTCTGTTAGGCATATCATATGTACTTGTGTCCATTACCCCAATTCCACCAGTACCGTATTCTATTCCACGACTATATCCTCCAGGCATACTCAGAGATGTGTGAGATCCAGTCGAAAGATGTTCATTACGACTATATACATGAGCAGAGTTACCGGAAGCCTCTACTTCCTCACTTCTGATCATTCCCATATGTTTTGGAACTTGAATAACTCGTGTTAAAGTCTTTGTAATTTCCCAAAATTTTCCATCTTTACCGTCTTTTGAATAATCATTAGTCATTATTCTTGTTTCACCCATCATTTTATCACTGCCAAATGTTTGACTTTGATATAATTGAAATGAAAACTTTGCAGTTGAAGGGTCTCTCGTATAAAATAGAAATTCAGCTCCAATTTCTGGTTTTATCGTATTAAACTTTGGTGTTATTTGTGAAACTATTTTCTTTTTATAATCTGTAAATGTTATTTTGACATATGCTTTATCAATGTGCCTCGTGAATTGACCGCCTAATATTTGAACTCTTATAATTCCAACAAAATAAGGTTTTCCATAATAAATTAAGGGGTAATACCATTTACGTTTTGGTGAATCTTTCTTAAGTAATCTGACATTTATAGGTTTGGAAGAAAATAAACGCATAAAATATAAACCTTCATCATCAACATTATATGCAGAGGGGATTAAGAAGTAATGCCCAGGTTTCAAAGAAACTCTTTCACTAACTTCACGAGAATTAATATAGGTAACACGACCAGCAATTTCATAAGTAGGTTGATGAATTCGATATCTTCGATTTAATTCAACTTTAAGAATAACAAATCCTATTGTAATCTTTTCAGCACCAATTTCTTCATGATCAACTCGTTGCATTAATGATACTATTAGGATTGTAGGTTCACGAATTTTGATAGAGTATTGTGGGTTTTGATAAAACGTATCTGTGTTGTTAATGCATCCACCGGCTGTATCGTCCTCTATTGACCATTCTCCACGAAACATCGCACCATGCCAACGTCGTCCAAATGTTAAGAATGATGTGTTGATACAACGACAAATTGTGATAGTAGAAAAGTTTGATATAAAATCTTGAAAAGACTAAAAATAAGGTTAATTAAAAACAGTTATTGAAATAATAAATGTTCGAGAAAGGAAAATTTACCATCCAAAAATCACCATCATCCGCAATAGTAAATCCTAATTTTTTACGTTTAGAATCGGAAATGTTGTTCCATTCTGGTGATTTATCAGACCAAGGACCATTCCATTCTACCTCACCCCATGGGTTATGTAGACGTATGAGAATGACTTCAGTTTTATTGAACATAGAACCGATTTTAAGTAATTGTATATTTGTAATTCCATACGGATGCTAAAAACAGCTTATTACTATCTCTGAGAATACAATCACACGACAATTTTAAAATCAAATACTTAAACTTACTCCAACAACCAAACCATTAGGTAATCTTTCTTGTTGAATTTCATCTTCAAGTACATCAATGGAACAACTCACTAGTGCTTTTTCCCTAATGGCACCTTGTATCATAGCAATAAATTTTTTTTCACCCATTTTTTGTATGATACTATCCTCACCTTCTTCCGAATGTAGTTGAATTGTTTCCGGAACAGCACCTGTTAGATCAACAAGTGCATCAGAAGGCGAACCACCTTCTAGAGCTTCATAACATTTGCAAAGTTTCGCATAAGCTTTTTCCAGCAATGAACACCACATTTCTTTAGGATTTTTTGAGTGTGCATATATAAGACGGCGATTCTTCATTGGAAGATAATCGTCGACAACCACTTCTATCCATTCCCCATATCTATAAAATCTAAAACGAAATATTCCTTTTTGATGGAAATACATAAGAATAAATATTTGACAATACAAGGATTGGAGAATCTCAAGAAAAAAGTTTACCAGGATGTCGTTCAGTATCTCTAAAATTATAAACACCCAATTGTTTACCAGGGTCAGTACTATGACACCAATCTTGTGCGGTCCATTCAGGAACTATTTTATGTAAAAGTTTTGGGTGGGCAGCCAAAACACCTAAGGCTGATACAAACCAACAATCACCGACAACTCTGAAATATTAATATGAATTGTCATGAGATATAGTCAATTATAGTAAAAAAATTTTTTTTTATCATAAAATATCGTCAATATATGTAATTAAGATTATAACATATATATTGAATAATAGAATCGGTATTGATTATTACCCTTTAACAACATCTGTATTTAATCGTTTATTATTGAATATAAATAAATGAGGATCAGGATTTATATCCTGAAAAAGAAAAAACATAAAAGATGAATGTAAATTATAAACATTAATTATCCAAATCAAAAAAATAATTTTATATTGAAATACCTTACACCTTTTCCATTCAACAGGTTCATGATAATCAGGAATAGATTTATGTTTCCAAAGTGATGTATCACAAGGCGGAAACATATCATCACGAAAATGTGAAGCAGTTCTCGCACAATACATAAAGATCTTTTTGTAATCCTGATTAAATAACTTTTTATATTTTTTTGGCATTTCTTTCTTTTTAAACCGGTTAAAACAAATGAATTCAGATTAATAAAGAAGATTAATAAAAAAAGAAATGATCGTAAATAAAAAGAACGTTGTTCGTCAAGTGCTGAATAAAGCAGGTGAAACTAGCAAATGTTATTAGTATTGAAATAAAAGAATGAATTAAAGATTTAATTTTTCAGGGTAAGAGTTCATAATGTGTAATGTTTGCTAACTATTTATAGCGATAAGAAATTAAATTCGAAATATTATGCTAACTATAAAATGTCACATTGATAATTTTGTTTTAGGAAATTTTTACATAAAGTGATAGCTACTTCTCGTTATTCTTGTATTTATTGGACATACTGTAAATCTATGGATACGGATACTTTAACGTTATTTTATTCTTTCAGAAACTCAAAATAATCACTATAAGTAAAGTGCGTTTTTTAATTAAATTTAATTAAACTTATCACTCCTAGATTCCAACTCATCCCTCATGACATACGTATGTACGTACGCACTGCTGTACTGTACGTGCGTAACACACCTCGGGGTTTCGTATCTCAGGGGTATTAATCTTTTTTTAGCTGTTCTATTTTTTTAGCTATATATTCTATTTATACACATATATTAGTCTGAATAACGTTTAATAACGATAATGCCATCCATATAATAATAATAAGTCTGGAAATGCAGTCACATTATGTTACGTAGTATCAAATTACTTTAGCATGTTCAATTTTTATTATTGTTTATCGTTACCTAAATGTAATGTGATGTATATGGAAACTGTATATTATTGCTGACTTTCTAAGTTAAAACTCGCTTTAAGTCATAAAATGCTTAAACATAGACCTGTAAAGATTTTAATCCCTAGCATATATTAGCATTATAAAGATTGAAGCACCTGACATTAAGGGTTTTATTACGTAATTAAAAACAAGTGATGATTATGATCTTAATTACTATTCGGACTTTGACCATTACTTGTTTTAAATCGATGAAAAAATGTTTATCCATCCCTATCTGGCATTTGGAAATCCCTTTTTCATATTTTATTATGAATGTTAAACCGTTCGAAGGGAGTTGCAGTATTTTGGTTTCAAACTAGCAGTAAATTTATGTAAACCTCAACGTGATTTATATGATGCAATGAACTAACCCAGATGGTTTATGACATGTAACCCGAAATAGTCAGACGTAGACGGTTTGATCCTAATGAAAACAGTTTGATTCTTAACTGAGTTAGCAGAACTAAACTAACTTCATTGCTAATAATTTATTCCTTTCTGATGATTCTTACATGATCAATGAATCTTCTTTTTCCTTTAGACAAGTCAGTCCTTTTTCTCGTTGAAAGATAGTTTTTGCGTATTGCCAACCGAACATTAACTGCTTTCTTAATGTGGAACCAATTTTAATACCAAATTGTAAACTCTATAATGATTTAATTAAAAAAAGTATTCTGTATGATTGCTCATGCTTTTCTAATCAATTGGCGAATTAGAAAGACTAAAAAATGTAGGAGTCAATTGGAGCTTGTGTTACGAGTAGATATTGCCAGCATAAAGAACAGATGCAAATTATATTGGCTACGTGCTTATCAATATCAATATATTATACTGTTATCTTCATCTGTGCCTTCATTAATGATTACTTTGTCTTCTTTTTAAAAAAGACTAATTTGTGAATTAAAGCATCAAAGAAGTACATTCCTTTTTCATCTCTCATAGGGGGCAATGTTTATTGTTTGTATCTCAATTTTGTTATGTAATTAATGAAATTTCAAATTGTATTATTCAAGAATTCATTGTAAAAATAAAAAAAAAAAACTTTGTATTATTTAATGCGAAATCGCTGGCCATCCCTATCAAATTAGAGCAAGTTTTTGAAACAGTTACCAAATAACTGGATTGCTTTATAAGGAAAACTCACTTCATTATTTGTTGTCCTAGAAGATATGATGATATCTTTAAATGACGAAAATATAAAGAATTTATGTGATACAAGGATTTATGTTATATGCTGAAACGAATGCTAAATTGTACGTACCAAAAAAGAAAGTTTATCGTACACGTACTGTACGTACGTACGTTATGAAAGGGAGGGCTTAAGGGTGACTGGTTCTCATGTCTAAAAATGAAGGCTACCCGAAAGAGGACGTGGAAGATTTGACCCGAGAACCAAGAATCCTACTGCCACTAGGATCCTTGGGTAATTTTATTATTAGACGGTCTTTATTAATTGATTGTACCCGGGTATTGTATGGCTATAATAGATTACCCGGATAACCGGATAATTTAATAATACCCGAGTAGAGATTTTCTTGACGGGTACAATCTCTATTATTAGTTATAATTCTTTTTACTTTGGCACGGACCGGTCAATAGTCAAGTTTGACCAGACCAGTTTGACCAATTTGACTAGTTGGTCAAAGAGTTTAGTATTGGTCAAATTGGTCAAAGGATATTTAAATATATAGTATATATACACATATATATATTTATATATATATATTTACTTTGTATACTAAATTTATTTATTTAATAGACTAAGCCATTTGACCAATTTGACCAGACCACTTGACCAACCCTGATGAAGATCTATGGGTTTTTGTATATTACAGATCGTACAGAGGTTTTTGCTATCATAAGAATCTTCAACTATTCAAAGTATCGGTGGGAACTCTATGACTAACGATGAGGTAGCTGTTTTAAAAAACCATCTAAACACAAAAACCAAGCTCTATTGGGCTCTTAACACCTTTAAATCACAGTCAGACCTCCCTCAATGCAACCTCCCTAAATGCATATCTATGTAAAATCTCCCTAAATGCATGCCTTTTTTTCGGCCCAACTTAATATAACACTTATAGATTTTTACCTCTTTAAATGCATAACTTCTCTAAATGCATGTTTTTACTATGGTCTCAGGTCGGTATTTTCTGACCCGGGTAAGAGCTCTCTAGTAATTATATACTTTATTTTAAAATTTTACGCTACGTACGTCAATTTTTAATTGACGGAAATTTGAAAGTGATATCTAGCAAATACAGACTTGCAAAATTCAATTTTTATAAGTAACCCTTTTAATGATTGGGATCAAGTAGTAAAAAAAAAGTATTTCCTACTTTACTACATACTCGATCGAAACTATATAGCCAACGCTAACCTAATGCGTGCTAACTTTGTCGAGATTCTGATCTTATCGGATTTGTTTTTGCCAGAACGCTATTGGTCATTCGTGATTGAAGATAATGTTCTATTACATCATTAGGTTTCAGAGTTTTGTAAATCCTAAACATAAACGTCAACCTCATAACCATTTGAAAAGTTTTATCGTTGTATCATAATTAACCTAGTAGATAATCACCAAATTTCACCGATCATTAAGATCGTCGTAATTTTAACAAAATTTAAAACCGATAATAATTAATAAAAAAACTATTTTGCTTTAGCACGTCTTTAATATAGTATATATATAACAAAATTGAACATGCATTGTCTTTATTTCTTAAAAAAAAATATATAATTAATATATGCAAATTATGAAAAAAAACATGATTAACACACCACCCCTTGATGTAAATTTTAATAAGAAAAACAAAAATAAATAACACGACAAGTTATCTGATAAAAGATATTAAAAATAACTATTTATAAGTAGGGAAAGAGTCTAAATATACATACAATAATCGAAAAAAAAACCTATATATTTATATATGTTTGGTAATTCCGAAAAAATTTTAATATATAAAACAAAATTGTCCGTTTTCTTTGAAAATATATATAAACACTCAAACAAAGGTGAAATGTTTATGAAATAATTATTATGAATTCTTAAGTTTTTTTTGTTGGTTAATAACTTGTTCGTTGTCAGGAGCCAGCGTTAATGCTTTATCAATGTCCAATAATGCTTTCTCTTTTTTTCCTAAAGCTTCATAAACCGCACTTCGTTCACATAACGCAAGTACATTGTTCGGCTCTCTTAATAGAACCTTACTCAAATCGGCTAAAGCCTCATTATACTTTCCTAGTGTATTATAAACTGCCCCTCGATTGCATAGCGCTTTAGTTTCGTGGTCAATATTAAAAGCTCTATCTTTTACGTTTTCTAAAGCTCGATCTAAATCTAATAACGCTTTCGTATTTGATTTTTGGGCTCGATAAACCGCTCCTCTTATCGATAACGGATATCCCCAATCAGGTAAATTTTCTAACACTTTATTCAAATCTTGTAATGCATCATCATACTTTCCTAATGCTAAGAATGCCTCTCCTCGATATGTTAACGCCCAAATATTAGATGAATTCATTCCTAACACTGCATTTAAATCCGCAAGCGCATCTTCATGTCTACCCAAGCTATTATACAATGCACCTCGAGTTTCTAATGCGAAAACGTGTTTCGGATTAAGTTTCAAAGCTTTCCTTAAGTCTGCTAAAGCTTCATGATGCCTCTTCAACATATGATAAACTGCTCCACGATTTGTAAGTGCAAACACACTATTTTGGTTTAAGTATATCGCTTCATCGAGATCTTGCAAAGATTCTTCATATCTTCTTAAAGTTCTATTAACAGCTCCACGAGCCTCACGAGCCAATATGTTATCAGGATCAAGTTTAATCGCTTCATCCAAATCTTTTAATGCTTTATGACCTTGTTTTGTCATTCGATAGACTTCTCCACGTCGAGCTAATGCATATACGCATTTAGGGTCAACCTCTATAGCTCTTGAAAAATCATTTAAAGCTTTTTCAAAGTCTTGAAGCAATCGATAAATTTCTCCTCTTTTTCGAAGTATTTCTACATCATTAGGATCAATTCTCAATGCCGCTGTATAATCTTTTATGGCATCATCATAATAACCAAGTGAGTGATAAGCTGCACCCTGATTTTTTAATAAGTTAAAATCAAAGGGTTCTATTTGTAAAGCAATGCTCATATGTGTAAGTGCTTCTTCATATTTTTCCATTTTTGTAAGAATTTCTGCTTTACTTTTATGAGCATTAAAATTTCGTGGTTCTTTTTGTAAAATCCTATCAAAATCTGATAAAGCATCATGATCTTTATCTAAAGATCTATAAACCAATCCTCTTCGTTCTAATGCCATTATATTATCTTCATATTGTAATGCAGCATTTAAATCGGCAAGTGCTAAGTCATAACGTCCTACAATTCGATAAATTTCACCTCGATTTGCCAATGTTGAGGCTGCATTATTTGGATCCAATTCAAGTGCATAATTTAAATCCTTCAACGAATTATCATAAAGTCCAAGTAAACAGTAAACTTTTGCTCGACGTACTAAGGTAAATACATTTTGTGGTTCTATCTCTAAAGCTAAATCTAGATCCAAAATAGATTCTCTGTATTGTTGAGTTGCACTATAAACTTCGGCACGCGATCTTAATGCAAAAATACTCTTTTGTATTTTTAATGATCTATTAAGATCCATCAAAGCTTTATCATATATAGATCTTAGACGGTATACTTCACCTCGAAGAGAGTATGCACGGGCCTTTTTAGGTTTCTTTGAAATAGCGTAATTTAAATCATTAATAGCACCATCCCAATCTTCAAGTTGATATTCAGCATAAGCTCGATCACATCTAACCGAATAACTGTGAGGATAGTCTCTTAAAATTTGTGAAAATAAAAAGATAGCTTCATTATATTGTAAGTCTTCTAACGCTTGAAGAGCTTTTTGATAATTAGGATGATAGTCCTTTGATGACTTTTTAAACATATTAGGCAACTTTCCAAGAGATTTCTGTGGTTTATGCCTTGAATGCTTTTTATTAGTAGCACTCGTAAAAGTAGAAAGAGAAGAGGGATTTGTAAAATTTGAAGAATGACTAGGACGACGATTATATGAATAGTCAAGTTGATCAAAAGAACTATTTGAATAGTTCATATCCTCAAGAGGTGATTTTGGTAAATGATTGACATGATTTTCAGAACTACTATTAGAATTAAAAGTATTAAAAGTGGATTGAGAATTTCTCATAGTACTGTTATCATAGGTTGTATATGCCCAGTTTTCTTGGGTGAAACTGTTAGGTCTTTTATGAGAATCTTCTTGAAAACTTTTTGGTGATAATAAAGGTGAAGAAGGAGTACTAAAGGACTGCCTATCATTAATTGGCATTAATAAAGGAGTAGTAGGTCTACTCGTAGACTGATTGTTTTGTGAAGAATTCACGGAGGGAAGATGTGTTTCTGAAAAAGAATAACCAACATTTGGTTGTGCATTATTTAGTAAAGATGTTACAGAAGATGAAGGAATTTTCGGTGAGGATAAGGGTGAAGAAGGTATAACTTTTGGTGAGGGAGTAGGAGAAGTAATAATTTGTGGTGAGGGAATGGAAGAAGTAACAATATTCGGAGACAACGCGGGAGAAGGAATAATTTTTGGAGATAGAGCGGGAGAAGATGTAGTGTTTGGTGATAGAACAGATGAAGAACTAGTTGGTGAGATTAGTTCTAATGATTTATCTTTAGAATACCTTTTCCGATTTTTTTTTAACTGCAAAGGACTTATTTTTTTTCTGGTAAGTTTACTAAGCCCAATATTTAACGGTTGGTCAATTTGTTCTTCTGTTTTTTGATCAGTATCTGTGTTAGAAATTTCGGGGTAACTACTTATATCTGAATAATCTTCCGAAACGGGTAAACTATTGTTTAACGGAGTATTAGTGGTTTCATCTGCAGGTGGAACATCTTCTTTTGTAATAAGTCCACTAGATTCTTGAAACTCTATTAAAGTATTTCCATTTCCGATTTTTGATGATCGACCGTCGACAGGGTTTATACCAACAGCATGGTGAACACTAGGACTAGTAGCAGAATTTATTGCTTGAATGTTTTGCTGATCAACGCTTAGAGGTCTTGGCGGAATAGCGGGGGGATCGTTTGACCATAAAGCTAGGTCGATTTCACTTGAATTAAAAAGGTCATCATAGTTGTTGCTATATGTTGGAAATAAATTTTGATTGCTGGAATCCAAACCCGAACTAAATGTTGGGAAAAAGTTTTGATTGTTGGAATCCAAATTATATGTTGGAGAACTATACGTTGTAAATTGATTTTGATTATTGGAATCCGAAGATTGTTGAAAATAAGTCCACGAAGTATCTGTATTCTTAGTAGCATACATGAAACCTGTCGGCCCCGAATGGCCTTTGTTGGTTTGATGAGTGTAAATTTGTTCTGACATATCTGGTAAAGATAATAAATTCTTAACCAGACTGCTAAAAATTATTAATTTAGTTTAATTAATTTAAATTGATAAAATAAGAATTAATAAATTTGCTTACAGAATAGCTATTACTGTAAGGAGATTTTTTTTCCGTAAATACTTTTTTATTTTTGACAAAAAAAAAGAAAAAAAAAGAAAAAAGAGAAAAGAAAAACCTTACCGAAAAAAAACCGCTAAAATCTAGTTTTCAAAAATAAATGCTATATGCTATTGCGACGGACAACTTAAAAAACTCACAGATGTTGTACAATTAAAATAATTAAAATTTAAATAACTATACATGTTTATTTATATTAAAATATTAAAAATTTTATAGGGATTTATTCATAGAACAAGTTTCCATTTTGGAATTTTCTATTTAAATCTCGTCACGTGATGTGATTTATTTTTAACAAAGCGATAAAAAAAAGTAACACGTGTGCAATACGTACGCACTTATCTGTTATGTACTTCTAAAGTACTATATAAATGATCTAACCTACGCAATAAAATTAGCCGAAATTTCTATAAAGGAATATAAATTCATCCTTTAAATTCACCCTTTATAGTATTAATAATGATAATGAGATTAGGGTTTATTAGCATTAAAGAAAGATGAATATTTGTTGAATTGGTGAAACTGGACTGATTATACCGATATGTATTTGTTTGTGTCCACTAACGTGAAATCATTTATTACTAAATAGTGTAAGGACTTTCAATGTTACGATAGATTATTCCTGTATTCACTTTTTAAACCATTTCTATTTTTGTATTATCATTTTAGTTCATTAACAAATGATTTCGATTTTTATATATACTGTACATGTTGATACATTTAAGTCGCACAATTATTATGACTCTTAGACATAAGGACCTATCTCAAATCGGAATTCTAAGCTGAAACTCCGCAAACAATGAATTCGTGATCTTAAGTGGATTTATCGCATTAAAGTTGCGTCAATCAATGTTAACTTCGTGATTCAATTCGAGTAACGTGTCCTAAAAACTATTTAAGATAATATTTGAAAGTTTTTTTTTTACTCCATATGATGATACATTCAACATTGTGAAAAGTATGTAGTGTTTGAAATTGGAACATCTACCAATGTTTTATATCCTTTTTTAGTTCTATTCAATACAATTGCTTCCTCCGGAAATTGCTGAAGGTGATGTTAATTCTCAAACATAATGAGTATTTTGTCTGGCTATATATGGAAACTTCTTGATAAGATTATCTAAGTTTAGATGCAATAAATTTATTTTAAATATTGTGGATGGCTTGTGATAGGTTAAAGTAAAGAAATGTGAAATTATGTTACATATATTCCACCTAGAAGTTTAATTCAGTAAATTTAGAGGGTTTCGCGCATCGCATAAACAGCGAAGGACATTTAACAAACTTTTAATAATCCTAATAACCAAATGTGTGTGTTACCGATATATATTTATTAATGTATGTTCAGCGTCGTTAAAGCTGCACCAGTAAATAAATTAATTTTCGGGACTAATTATTATTAATCCTGTAATAATTAAGATGAACCAATGACCTTATTATTAAGATAATCGATCCAAAAATAACACACGATCTAGATATATTCCAACTATAGGTGGAAACAAACACCTGACTAAAATAAAATACACTTTTAGTAATGTTGTAAAATAGATTCTTCGAATGTGCGCAGTTTGTAGGTGTTCTTGTTTATTTTAATTTAACTTTATTTGAATCACATTGATACAATATTAAATATCTTTGGATACACTAAAAACTAGTATTATTTGTTATCGTGGCTTTGATTTTTATACAACTACTTGTCAAGAAAAATCTTTCAACTTGTATTTTTTGAAAATCAGATTATTATCAATAATTTAAAAACAACAAAAAAAAACAATAATACGTAATTGTAAAATAAAACTATACAGTATACTGTATTATTGATTTGAAATATTTGAATATTTCGGTTTCAATGACATGTTATTCGTCAGAAGGTTACATGCATCTGGTCTGTATATGTCTGATTAAAAAATCAAAATTGTTATGCATTTATAGTTAGTACGTATCGTACATGCAATTAAACACTATGCATTTAGACAGTATCGATGCATTTTAGACTATATAGTAGTTATGTACTGTACGTACGTACGTATGTATTTGGGCGTCCCAAACCATGTGACGACTAGCATCACACTAGGTATTTCCCATATTTATTACTATTGCCAAAGGTGTGTGATTCTATTTATCACGCAGTTTAAGTTACATCATAGTGCCGCGTACTTTTTTAAAAAGCTATTTGATACGTACTATATATATACTAAATAGGTTTACAAGTTTCTAGAGAATTATGATTAGCAAACTCGTAGATAATCTGGCTAATTTAATTTTTCCTTGAATTTGAATTTGCACAAATTTGCTATTGTGCAATGTTATACAATCATGATAACGTCTCGACTGAAATTTTGAACGGGTAATTGATTATGCATACTTAGTGGTGTGAGCGCAATGCTGTAATTGGCCGTATTTTTTTTTTTTTTACAAAAACTCGATTATATTGTGATCCAGTAATTCAAATTGAATGGTATCAAAATCGGATCACCAAAATCATCCAATTCGGATTACTGGATCACAAAGTATTCGCTAATTCCCGTAATTCATTAAATAGTCTTTCGTGAATATCTTGTGATTCAATTATCCAAATTGGATGATTTGGGTACCATTCGACTCGTCTTATCGAGACGAATCGAATGATATCAAATTATCCAATTTGGATTACTGGATCACGATATAATTGAGTTTTTGTAAAATAAAAATAAAAATAAATACGACCAATTACGGCATTGCGCTCACACCACTATGTATATTGCGCCTTTTTTTTCAAATTCGCAATAATTCAATAACTATATCTGTTAAAGTGATGGTTCTCAACCACCTCGCTCAGTAAATCGAAAACAAAATTTTAATTAACCGACAAAGGAAGTGTCATTTATCAGATGATTTTTTTGTAAATAGTAAGACTTCCCCTCCCTCAAATGATTACAAATTATATATAGTAAACCCTCTCAAATCCGATTGCATGGTGGGCTTAGTGATTTAAGCCGGCTTAGCCAGCTGAGCCAGCCGATAAAATATGATCGGTTGGCTAATGGAGACGTTAGTAGCTCACCCACAAAAAATTTTCCGGTCATGTGACTTTTTATGGCACTAGCCAATTATATTTCGAGA